GCTTGCAAGATTCCCTGGGAAACACGTCCAGACGAATAAAAGGGCACTGGATCTCCTGGCCATGCTGCACTTTGTGTTGTAAGTGACCACATTATTCATCCTTCGTTACTCTGACTGTTGGAGACATGTAGCTGGTCTTGCGCGATGCCCCCATGAATCTACCGTACTCTGATGGACATCATCGCTAAAATTCATGCAAACCCAAACCTCGAATGGGTAGTTCTCGAGCCTTCCACCATTAAAGGAATTAGGCCTACCATAAATTATTGGCTGAACGAAGCGTCCAAAAAACACACCGTCGAAGATATTACTTCTGGAGTCCAGTTCGTATATGTATTTTTTCGGCATTGATTCGCGCTGACCTAGTATCGCCTCTCCAGTATCCTTGATAAATCTGGGAACTTGGCCTACCTCCAAGCGCTGGGGTTGCCGGGGAATGATGTCAGCCAATTGCAGAACCAAGCAGCTTCCGAGCGTGATGCAATGATATCGATGATAGCGCCTCAAATGGAGGAGAAACTCATCGCACAAGGGGAGAGGCCATCTGAGGCCAAGAAGATCGTTGAGGGAATGATGGACACCGGCGTTCTGGAGACTGTGTTCGAAAATCTCGACATCATGGAGGGGTCGGTGAATGAGAGATCGCTCTATAATGAGCTCCGAGTTCTTTGGCCGCCGACTCACCTTATGTCAGAAGAACCTCCAATCCTTCAGGAGGTCATGAACAGGTCTCGAGCGGTGTACCAAAAGCCGCTAGCTGAGAAGGTAAATTTGGCCCGCAAGGCTATTCTGGTGCGTACTTCTGTCGTATGGAATAACGGCAGTACTGACCCTTGGCTCTTTCAGAGGACATGGCTCCCGAATATAACATTCACTTGCAGGTCATTCATCTTTCACATGGTCATCTGGTGCTAATTCTACTTTTCAGCTCCTGAATGGCGCGGCTCTCTGAGCCATGATCCATTCAGAATTGCCAGCGAATTCTTCAATTCTCAGTGCCAAAGAATTTCAAGCCTGATGACGATACAGCCTCCCTATATGATTATTCCGTTGCCTTTTTCTCTCGCGCTGCTGAGGGGGTCAGAAAATCATTCCAATATCCAAGCAGTTTGATGATCGAGCTGATCGCTAGCGATGGACTTCGTGCAATGGAGTCCATTCGCCTTTCGTCGTTGGGACGTGAGCCTGAATGGCCCATTTTATACGATCGCATTCATCTAAGCAACGTCCCTGATTATACGTAATGAGGCCCCCACCTCATCCTTGATCTTATCTTAATCGTTTTCATCTAAGAGGAGGCGCACTAACAACATTCACCGTAGCCAATGCTCTCCTAAAACCTCATCCTTGTGTATGCATCATGTTCGCTTGCCTGCTTAATACAGGATTGTTGAGAACGGGATAGGAGGTCCATTCTACATCTCCATGAGCTCTTATATATACACGTGCGTCCACCGCGGTTGATTTTGTTAGGTGGCTGAGCTTGTTGTCTAGGTATACCGGGGTCTCGCTGGACGAAGTTGAAGGCGCTTTCGGTGTAAAAGCTGAAACCCTGTATTCTTACATGGCAAACTATATTGCTTTTTCTCGTATCCCCACAGTGCCCCGGGAGAAACTCTTGAGTAGGCAAAGGATAACACGAGTTATGTATGATATTCTGTTCAAAACCTTGCGTCCGGTCCCTTGGGACTATCCCGTCCCAACGCACATAAGGGAACCCTTGAATATTCATGCTTTCTTGCTGTTCGTCAAAAGGCTAGCGGATATCGGATAGTATGTCTATTTCCATTGCTCCTGATGGTATGTTTTAATGTGCCCTAAATCACTAGCCCTGCACACTGGCTCGCCGACGTGATAGAGAGGATTCTCGAGGATCGTGCCGTGACAGATGCCGTGCCTGCAACTGAGAACCCAGTCCCATTGAGAAAGCTTAGGGAGCAACCCCTGGTACAAAAATTTTCTGGGTCCGTACCTGGACGAAATCAGGACAGCGACCACACTATGGGCGCTCCTCCTACCATTCACGGTCTGTTCACCGTGCATGCTGTCCATCTGCGATATTGGGGCATTTCAGATTACGTTCTCTTCCGTCTACCCGGACATGATTATCCTTGGATCAGAGCGCGTCAATGCTCTTGCTCTTCGGCTCGCAAAATCCTCAGCGTCGGTGCCAGCATTATCGTTCTTTCGACCACAGCCGGATGTTATCATGATTTCCACGTTGGAATGGCATCGTCAATCCAAGGTACGTGGTCTGTATTTGGACGGGTTTTGTACGCATTTCATACTCAACGAGCTGCCATTAGACAGCGACATTTTGGATGTCGAAGAGTGCTTTAGCCGCGCGTCGCTCAGCAGGTTTCCAGATCGAATTGTGGTCCTTGCTTATGACTCGCGGTGTTACTGAGCCCGAACCGCTTACGGGTGTGGTGTTTTTGGGGGGTATGGACTCTCGGGATGCCCCTGCACCCGCCCCTATTGCAGACTCAGATCAGTTACAGCGTATCTAGGCTATCTATGCTTTCCTAGCATCATCATCCGTTACCCCGCCTCAGCTTATTAGTCACAAGCAGGTTCAATACCCCTATCTCGGTCCAAGCTAGAGTAAGAGAAAATTGAAGAGGTCGATTTCCCTCTGTACGTGGTTAATCAATTCCCTGTCGTTTTCGGGATTACACAGAGGTTGTTTACCAAGGGCGGGCAAGCTCACCAAACGCCACTCCGCAACGCGCATCTTTGTACCGTGGCACCGGGAACCCTGTGTGAGTGAAATTGTCCCCTACCGTGGGAAAGGGACTCCAGGATACATGTCCACTCAGTTTTATCCCCAACTGGGTATATCAAGAGCAGTGGAATCCTATGCGTTCGTTCCTTCTTCAGATACCATCGAAGCGTGGGGGGCCGTAAAGGATAGAACTTTCATATGAACGGATGGCTTCCGACGGTGTAAAAACGGCGCCTCTTTCGATGATTCATATACAAGTGCATCCTGCTAGATTTCCGGAGACCACGTGCAGAGATGCGTGCGAACCAAACGAGACAGGTTCAGCGTGGTAACACGACCATAACAGCCTACAGTTGTCCAGTTGGCGCGAAAGACTACCGCCTCGGCGCCTCACAAGTACCTCACTGATGGACACCACCAAGGCTCATACTGGGACCATGGGTGATATGGGGCAGGTGGTACTGGCATGTCATGATAAATATGAGCAAGCGGAATCCTGCAACATCACCCAGTTTGGTTTGTAGCAAAAATCGGTTTTTTAAAAGTTTGAATGGGAGGACATTGCCGTAATAATCGGTGGCTTATCAGATATGTATTAATTCATTGTGACGGAATACTGTTGTTGCAAGTAGGTTGCCGGATCAACAGGGACCGCCTCCCCAAACACGAATAGGTGCCATTTCCTCATAACACGAAGCGCGTGCCATCCCTTCCATCTTCTTACTCCAGCTTTCACCCCAATGAGTTCAAGCGGGGATCAAAGAACACTAAGCAGCCTCTCCAAGAGCGTGAGGTATGCCTGAGAGGGAGAACATCAACTCGTAATCGGCCTAGTGTCTTCACTGCCCGGACAGACTACAATTACCTCCCCTCTCTAACACTTCTCCAGTGCGCCCGACACACTCCACTCCAGACGAAACTTCTGTTTTCTCCCCCTGTAATTGGAAATACTCCATACTATGTTGAATTCAACCCGAATGTCGAGGACAATGCACTCCTATCTTTTCCAACCCCACACGAGGATTTTCCAGCACGAGATGCCGAGTGTGGTGATTCTCGAATGGGGTCTCTCACTACGGAAAAAAGTGGTCTTCCGATCGGTTGGCTGTACGCTTCTGTCGCCGCTGTAGCCTATGTGTACAGTTTGGATCAAAACATAACTCCAAATTACCTCCCAATCGCCGCGAGCGCGTATGGAAAGCATTCAAGTATCGGAACAATCTTCACTGTGGAAAGCATCATTAGTGAGTGCCAAAAAAAAAACCTTCATATTCTTCATGCTCATGAGGGTGGTGCCCGTCGATTCTGTGGCGACAACATGATGTTCTGGACGTTGCTCGCTAGATGGCGTATCGAAACCATTCATAGCGAAAATTGCAGATGTTATCTCCCGTCCCTCAGCTTGCATGTGCTCACTGGTGTTCTATACTGCGGGCTACCTCATGATTGCACTTTCATCCTCGATCACACATGTCATCACTGGATGTATGTTGTATACTGTGGGCCACTCAGGCTTGAACCTCGTCACAGACATCATTGTGGCTGATATAAGCTCCCTTAAATGGAGAGGGTTTGTACTGAGCTTGACGGGGTTGCCTTTCCTTGTGAACACTTTCATCGGTGCGGAGATCGTCAACGCTGTCCTGAAGAGGAATGCTTGGAGATGGGGATGTGAGTCATTCGTCCTTCCTCCAGGATATTTTCCTAGTTCACATAACTATTATTCAGACGGGATGTTCGTGATCATCCTCCCCGTTGTCACGCTCCCGCGATATACATCCTCCATCACAAACACCACCACCGTCGAATGCAGTCTGTATCCCAGAATTCCCCCTCCAATTGCTCAGCTGCGGGAACGAAGCAACTGGAAGACGAGGATGGGACTTACTGGAATAGGCTCAAGAACGTCATAGTGAGGATGGATTTCGGGGGACTGGTCCTCATTGGGATAAGCTTCTCGTTATTGCTATTGCCTCTGACACTTGCGAAGAGTGCGCAGCGAGATTGGACTCACCGTAAGTAGGCGGTCTTCACTCTTCGAGATGACAGTTGAGCATCATTTTCCACTCCTATGCTTGCATTTGAATTGCCGACCGATGGATCAGCCTCTATGCTGGTCATGACTGTGCTGGGGGTGTTATTCATCAGTGTTTTCATGTTAAATGAGCGACTATGGACTCAATATCCACTCTTCCCATCTCGATTCATCCGAAACCGCACATTGTTGATCATCATCTTCATCGACTTCTTGTACTTTGTGGGTTTCCCGTTTTTTCTTTTTCGGTTTCTCTGAGCTGGATGCTCACGAGCTTTGGTAGATGTCAGGTTGGATGCGAACGAATTACCTCTCCAGTTATGTCTATATCGTCAAGGACTGGTAAGTTTTTTATACCATCTTCCTGAATCTATTCATAGCATCGGAACACCAGGACACCCCGAGAGTGGAGCTATTGTGAGTATCGCTCACACCATTGGTCAGACACCGGAGGCCGATCTTTCATTAAAGTCAACAATGCAACCACATTCTCTCTGTGCATCCTGGGTCCTGTCGCTGGTCTCATACAGCGGTACACTCATAGATACAAGACACTCCAAGTTACGGGACTCTCGATACGACTAATGCAAGTGTACCCCACCGAACGTGCTTGATTCCTTCATCTGATTGTTCCCTTTTCTAGGGAATGATCTTGACGACGCTTTGCAGCTCAGGTACTGCATCGTAAGTATCTCAAAGCCCATCCTCAGCGTTATCTGATCCATTCTTTCTTGGAGTTCGCATTGGCTAGTAAGTAATATGCCCAGTACTCCACGGCCAACCTGCGCAATTCTTCTACCCAAAACCCTTTTATCCTACACCTAGGTCGCATCCCAGGTTCTCATAGGCGCTGGCGGTGCATTCAATGTTGCGGGGAGTCGCGTTGCGTCCCAAGCCAGCGTACCGCATACTGACCTTGCAAGCGTTGTCGCGATCTTGGCCTTATGCACTCAGTTTGGTTCTGCTACTGGGAGTGCAACTGGTCCGTCCATTCTGCTCGCGTCCCCGCTCTGGCGCTCATTGGTTGTACAGCTACGAAGCTGTGGCGAACTACCCTGGTTCCGTGTCTCATAAAGTATTTGCCATGGCTCACCAACGAGGAGATTCAAGAACTTTTTGGCTCTATTTCGAAAGTACGACAGTACCCGTACAATGACCCGGTACGGCAAGGCGTCATTAAAGGCTAGTCGTTAAGATGGTCCATCTGGAATGACGCAGAACTGAAGGCGTCTGGTCATGAATAGCCTATGAGGAGACGGCCCGTCCATTGTGGCTCTGGGCTCTTTTCTTATGTGCGTGGCTAACTTTCTCCCTTCGTGTTTGAGGTAGTTGATTAAACGTGTGAATCATTTCCATCTGGGACCCATTCTTTTTTTGAACTCCCTATTGCGTCGGACCGCGGTTCTCATTAATTTCCTTTGTCATCCCGTCCCATCGCTGTTTCCTTTCCGAACGGACTTGCTTTCATTTCTCAACCACGGATCCTGAACCATGTCGCTGCAATAATGTTTCTTCCTCTTGGGACATACTCATCATTGCTCCGTAAACGGAACGACTTGATACGGTCCGCGCTTCCACTTCGAATCGGAAATGATATGGACATTCATCTGACGACACCTACATGGGCCGCTTCCGCCTTACCAACAATTAATCGACAACTCACCTTCCACCATCTGCACTCCCAAATCATTAGCAATTCCCCCCATTATCGCGGCCCTTTTCCTTCCAAATTATACCTGGGTGACACTCACAACGTCATAGAAGGCACCTCCTTGCCCGCCGAACGCCGACGCCCCCGCTCCCGGTCACCATCCTCGCTATCAACGGTAGATGGGCCTGCTCCCAACATATCTCCTAAGCAACACACGGAGGGTTCGTTCATCCAAACCGAAGCCTTACGTGAACGCTCCTAGTATTTCTCCCATTCATGGATTGTGCGATGAGCAATCGCCACTTATGGAAGGATGCACGCATAAGTCATACTCCAGTTCAGAGAGGGGGGACGAGCACGCGAATCAGGATGGGAACCATGTTGAAGAAAGCCGAAGACTCATTTAGGATATGAAGGGTTCTCACAAAGGTGGGACCATCACTGCCTTTCCAGGCAAGTTTGTTTGACTGAATCGCCGGCCCATTTTCCTCATCGAGGTCCCTTATTAATCTCTTTCACTCTCACGAGCACTTTCCCAACACGCAAGGACCCTTTTCAAGGTCGCAGTTCGTTGTTAATTCCCTCCGAATCTTTCCCCGAGAACAACCTTGTATGATATTTTCTCTCACGGCATAGTGTTCCCTTTATTAGATGGCTTGCTAACAGCCAAAGCAATATTTTTCGTTCGCCCCATCTCGCGCGCGCCCCGTACGCTCGAATATTCTCCAGACTGGTCCATCCATAAAATGTCGGATCAAGGTCAGTCTTGCTTTAGATTGAACACAGCTAGAGAGTTAAGTTCGAGAATACTGAGGACCGCGGATGAACTCCTTGCTGACCTGTGATATATGAGTCAGTATTATTCGAGAACGAACTATAAAAAGCGGAAGGAGGTGACAACCATTTAGCAACGTTCAAAGCGAATCCAACATGGACCATGTCTATTCCTGTGTGACAAATGGTCGTGAGGCAGTTCAAATATGAAATCGTGCCGGGTCGCTTCGACTTTTGTCGGGGTCGTCGCCACGCTACCTCGCAGTTCCAGGTCGCCCATTGCGCACAAAGTGCCAAATGTTAAGCGGGTCCAGTAACGAGACTAATGACAGAGAAGATAAACTCAGGGAAGTTAGTGCCAGTGGGGAGTTGCCTAGCAGAGCGAGTATATAGAGCTAGCTACACTTCTAGGCGCTACCGCAACGACCATGCAAATAATTTAGATTGAAAACTCATCATATCTCTACAATAATTAATACATAGATTATTTTCGAAGGAAAGAAGAATTAATGTGCCTAACATCCTAACACGATCTACGTGCTCTAAGAGCAAATGGATGGTAGTTTGTGCTTTGCAGGTTGAAAGCAAGTAATGTATGTAGCAAGAAAGCAAAATAAGTTATCACCTTTTCAGACGGAGGCTACTTCACCACGGCCCGAACTGAGATCACCAGAATAGTGACTCAAATCGTCATATCATCCGTCCCCAACCCCCTCCTCTTCCACATCCCCCCGCGTTTAAATCAATGGGACACTCCTCAGGCCCCTTGAATCCAACATTGCCTTTAGATTGATAAATCGCTTTGTCAAGTCCAATACTAATCTTGATACTGGGTGGCGGGGCTATATAGTGTTCAAGTTCGGGAAGTTCTCTGTCTTCAGTTTCCTGTGAACGTCTCGACGTCGAGTCATAAGCGGAAGCGGCAGGATCGAGGGGCCAAATCTTGTTCCGATTCCCCATGGGCGTCAATTTGATCCGCAGCGGCATCGAAGGAGGTCCATCATCGAGATTCGCCCCCTTCTCCAGAACTCTGTCCTGACAAGGGGGCTTCGATCCAACCTTTGCTCTCCCACCGCTTTCAATCATCCTTATCACATTCCTACTAGCGACCTCCGCCTGAGTCCAAGCTGTATGGCCCGCATTGAGCGCCCCAAATGCATCGGCGGCGTCACCTATAACGAATATATGCGGATACGGCGAAGAGAGGTGAATCTCACCGCCCCAATTTCCTCCCATCGTTATATCAGAGGTGGCGAGGGTGGTGGTAGGACTGCTGGAGAGGTTCCCAGAAACAATAGAATGATGGGATGGGGAATCCGAAGGCCCAGCCAAACCCTTTGGAAGTTTAAAATTAAACCTATTACTCCCCCTACACAGACATTCATCCTCCGGTAATCCCTTGGCGCAGGTGAAACCGGCCGCAAGCGGAGCGTCGTCGAGAATAGAAGGAACAGGAGGGGGAGTGGGTCGCTCAAAGTAGCCGATTTGCATCGAGCGGAGTACAGTAACAAGACCTGTTCTAGGGTTAATGCTGTGGGGGGCTATCTTGGAGAGGAGGGAGGTGTTTGGTTTCTGACCGGTGCAAAGGAGCTAGATATGCGCAAGCAAATCATTGATGTGGTCCAAACTCAAAGAAGTGGATACGCACGATCAACTCTGCACTGATCAATCGTCCATCACAGGTCCTCAGCGTCCGTTCCGTCTTGCTCGACAGATCCACCCTAGAGGACAACAAAACTTTGACACCAAGCCGTTCCAACTGAACAATAACTATGGAAACCAACCACAAGATCGTCAATCTGAATTCCCCGCTTCGAATGACTGGAAAGACGACTCACTTTGTTCATGCATCCACTTGTCAAATCTAGGCAACAATCTGTCTCCGGAATGGACAAGCGTCACTTCCTTCCCTTCTCCGTAAAATCCTTTGATATCCGTCGCGAACTGTACACCTAATGCACCTCCTCCGATCACCAATACACTTTCACTATTCTTCACTCTTTCCTGCGCAGAACGTAACCATAAAAGGCCTTCGGGCTTGGTACCATGTTGAAGAATGGAAGCTGCATTTAGGACGTAGGGTTGTCCGTCATCTTCTTTCTCTGATTTTGCTTCTTCGTAATCGAGGTCGGATGAGGATGAAAATGATGACGAAGGAGAATTACGGCCCGGCCGGACTGCCAATTTCTTGAGTCGTCTCTCTAGCTCTTCATCAAACTTCTCGTCTTTAACACGGGTATAATGCCTCTGATCATGAACGTGATTGAATGGGGAAGGTGTTGAAGGGATCGTCAATCCTCCAAGCGCACGAATCGACGCTGGGATATGATGGTGGTGTTCGCGGTTGTGAGGAGCATGCTGTGCCGGTGTGCTCGTGGCGTTCGTACTAGAATCGCTGCTTATTGTGGGTGCAAATGAGAACAGCGAATTTGTGGGAGAACGAGAAGCTATGGTTGATGGTGTAGATGGAGTTGACGCTGTTGTGGGGGCGTGAGAGCCTGTAGGGGTAGGTGGTCCAAGTGAATATTTTTTTCGGAGCTTGGGCTACATAATTGAAAGCGACGTGATGGTTTTTTGATCATCCCCATTGGCATTGAATCAGGGTTTCGGATTAACAGAGATGGGATCAACACACGATCAAAGAAGAGGAGAAAAGGACGCACTATGTTCTTCAGAGGTTCTTCGCTCCAAATATTGATGGGTGCTGGTAAATGGCTTCCTAGTGCATAGATTAAATAATTGAATCTGACTTGACGCTCCTCTAACGAAGCGCCTTGGTCGAGGGAGATGTATCGAACGGAGTGGGGGTGAACCGCCGTAACGTGACCGTGGATGAGGACGTGTGAAGACGGATCGGCCAGTGGAGTTTGTGGAGTGGTGAGTGTTGGGGATGTTTTGAAGATGTTGGTGTAGGGTATGACTAGCGGGGAGAAATTGAAGTGGCATGATAGCGGGAAACTTGGTGGCTTACAAGCTTTATGTTCGTGCCCTGGTATGACGGCTATACGGGGGAAGACGTATAGGTCTGATTGAACAGAACAACTCATAAGTGCTCATGGCCATCGGATGCAGCTGGATGTACTTACGATTGCAATGCCTACAAGTTGAGAAAGAACGGTTACACGTCAAAGAGGTTATCTCGTCCGAACGTCAAACTTACGTGTTACGCTCGATGACAACAATTCTCCAGCCATGAGGAAGACTATTAACGAGGACTTGGACAGCTCGGTGGCCTTGTTTGAGGAAAATAACGCATCAAGGAGCATGCATGAGTTAGCGCCATTACAGCCGAGAGGTGTGAGAGGAGCAGGCCGACCTCCATACGAAGCACCCAAGATGCAAACGGTGGGGATGTCTGTTGCTGACGATGCTGCTGAAGACATGGTCTGAAGGGTGGTAAGGGAGCGGGGGAATGGTAGCCTCGTTGAGTGGTTTTATTGGGGAGGGAACTTTATGCCCGCGGAGCGGTGAGCAAGTAATTCATTGTGACTCATCTTATCTGATTATTTCAGCTTCGGTCGTCTCCGGAACAGACTCAATCGGTAAAGGCCGATTCCGAGTCCCGGCGGATCTCACGAGGATCAAAACAACTCGAGAAATCAAACAACGATTCGTGAGTTGTTAAGTACTGGCAGAGTTCGAGGGTGAATATTCAGAGGCCTATTACTCCTGGAACACAGCTGCAAGCGAACCCCATGATTTTCTCGCTTATGAATTTCAGTTCCTCTCCCGTCGCACCCTTCATTTCCGTCCATTCGTGCCAAGTTGACATGAGAGCATATGCCAGTTGAACCTGACCCCCAGTCATTTGCCTCGTCCGCAACTTGCCGTCTCGGAGTTATTCGGATCGATTCGTTCAATTCATCCACTTATCAGATATCGTTAGGTCCCTCAGCATGTCCTCTGCTGCTACACCCTACTTCGCCAAGCAACTAGATTCGATTTAAGTCCCTAGAATCTGCCCTCTTCATGGCAGATGTTCCACAAGTCATTTCTGACCCGCAATTATTCCAACATGACGCCAAAGATGCGCCACTGACGCTCACCTTCTTCCTTCCAGATGGCGAGTCAAAGCTAACAGTTACAGAGGACAAAGATCTTCATCAGATCTCCATATACGAACACTCTTCATCTTCTGTCAGTGGGGAGCATCCCAGACTCATAGGGCTATACAAACTCTCCTCGGACCCTTCCCACACACTCATCACCTCCATACCCGGCCTCTTTAAATCAGAAAGACACTCTCCCGTCCCCGCGTTCATCTTCACATCCCCCTCAAGCGATATATCCAATGAAAATTTCTGGAAAACGCTCTATGCTCTTTGGATCCGTCGCACAACGTCGGAACGACTTCCAGTCATCCTCTCACCATCTCTCACCAATGAAACCCTTTCTGATCTTTCCCTCTTCCTGACAACTACAGGTCTTGCCTACCCAGCACCGGATCCCTCTCCCTCCCCTCCAAACACACCTATTGCCACTTTTTGGTCATCCTCTCCCAATCCAAACCCATCCTCAACCACCGAATCTATTCACACCCGCCTTATTCTCATTCGTTCCTCATTCTGGCAAGCAGCAGGAATCCCTCCGGGTCTTCACTGGCTCAGACACCCAGCCCTTTTCCCATCACCCTACGGGACGACCTTCCCCCCAATCGTAAGCTTCACCAACTCAATGTCCCCGCCAATCTTAACAACCCATCCTCTCCGCCCACCCAAGCCGCCCCCCGATGCGATTCTCTATCGCAGACACATCATCTCTCTCAACTCGACTCTAACCCTCCGCCATCTCAATCCTTCCAACCTACGGACCTTCCGAAAATACGCTACATGGCAAAATAGTGATCGCGTAAACGAGGGGTGGAGAGAAAGGGGGGACGACGAGCATCATAAGAGGTATTTGGAGAAGATGCTCAATGACCGACATTCAATGAGTGTGATTGTGGAGTGGGACGGTGAGATGGCTGGATATGCTGAGGTCGCTTGGAGCTTGGAAGATGGATGTGCGGCTTTCTTGAGAGGTGTTGAGGGTGGATCGGGGGCAACACCTGGAGTTTGGGACCAGGGGACTCACTACCTTGTCGGAGAGGAGAAGTTCCGGGGAAGAAGGAGGTGTAAGCGAGTCTTTTCCCAAGGAAAAAAACTCTCCGTGGGACTTGACATTCTGTCCTGGTAGTTACGGCTGTGATGGTCTCACTCAAGCACCTCTGTTTTCTCCGCGACCCCAGGACGAATATTGTCATGGGCGAACCCCGTTTCGACTTGCCCATCATACCGTTGCTTGCTACCTATCTCCCTCAAGAGTTCAATCGGGCAAGTTTTTGTTTCAATTCATTTCTCAGCCGTGAAGCTAGCTAAGCACGGAAGCTCCGCCACCCTGTTTATGAATTGATAGGAATTCGAACTCCCTCACAAGCGAGCAGTGTATTTTGTTTTGAGAAGGGAACGATTCTTTCAAGCTGCTATCCTCTACTGAAGTCCGGTGTGGCAAAGGAATGTTTGGAGTGGGAAGGAACGGAAGGGTGAAAGTTGGCGGAGGCCCAGAGGCTGGAAAATAGAAACGGCACCGTTGTCGAGTCGTGAGTGATGTTTAAAGAAACTGGTAAGCACTAGGCAAGCAATTAAGAGACCTTGCATCGATTAAATAGAATAACATGCGCCTATACGTATACTTCATGTAACTGCCTGGGGCCGTATAGGTGATATAATATTTATTAGTTATCCAGATGGCTGTTAGCTAAAGTCGGCCCCTCAGGCATGCTCGCTGCAGCATGATGTTGATCAACGCGTAGATATGCATAGGCAAATTGGTACAACGCGCTACAATGGCTGGACGCATTATTGATTTAACGACCACAACTTCTTTAGTAAAATTAAAACGCGATGCTATCTCCTAGTCCCCCTTGCATATGACCATACATTGCAATCTACATGGTCAATTGCATTACGTTTGTTGAGACAGGGGCGGGAAGGGGATGTGACGATGAGCCGGGAATCGAAAAAATGGCAGAGTAATTAATATGCACTCCAACAGTAGGTATATCATATCTAATACTTTTCTTTCAACGTCGATCAGCTATCCATTCCGTTTCTTTTTCTTGGTTTTCGACGTTTCTGCCGATGCACCGTCGCCATGATTGCGGTTCGTTCCTCATCCCCTCGTTTGCGTTTACCAGGTGTTTTCGCATTTTCCGAGCCTGTGCTCTGTTGTTCTCCGGCGTGGGGCACTTCCTCAGCATCTTCTAACAATGAACTGAGAATCTACGAGTGATTGACTTTAATATCACACTGATACAGCAGGCAATTTGTTTGAAGCGCACTTCCATAAGGTCCTCTTTTTCAGCCTTCTTCTTGCTTTTGCGTCTGGTCGATGGCTTTTCAGGGACTGCAGCCTGAGACTCCTGTACACCAGAAGGTAGCACGGATTGTATTTCCCTTCCTTTTGGCGGAGTGATCATTGGCTGGGAGACAGTGTTTGGCTGTACGATATGTATATATATTTGTTCGACTGGAGTCAGGGTTGGTACGCACCAGAGGCTTGGCCTTTTCGAAGGCCTCGCCATCCTCGCCAGCACTAGGTGCACTCGATTCATCCATCTGATCGGGGGCGTCGTCTCTGCTTGTCGTGTCGGCAGGATCTGGAGCTTGGTCGTCCTGTCGAGTCGCGTAACGCCGCCGGCTTTCCCGACGGGCTTCCGATAATTTCTGCCAGGAACCCTAACAAAAAACGTAAATATACGCCAATTTAGTTGGAACTCAGTTTTGAAACGCACCAGTGTAAGCATAGTACCATTCATCGTCTTCCCGTCCTTAAGGGCTCTAGATCGTGGTCGGAGCGAGGTGTGGAGCTGAGACCCGTCGCTCAGACGTGTTTTTTCGGTTTCGGTGCTAAGCTTGGCGCCTAGCCAGCAGTCATTGGCGAGAATCTTGGTACTAAACCAGCGCCCGTCGAGGGGGGGTGTGCCCGTGTAGATTTCCGCTGAAACGTGGCTTATCCCCAACCCCGTTATTTTCATTACGCCATCGTGCAGGGCACAAAGTGGTTCCGTGAAAACTTCTGCAATGAACTGATGAAGCTTATCAAAACCTTGCTCCGTGTAAAGGGCCCCAATGTAAGCCTCAAAAAGTCTTGCTGGAAACAACGCATGAGTGCATTGTTCGGCTATCGTGTGATTGTTACCATACCACTATTGAGGGAGCGCCCTTTGGCGGGAGAACAGGTGGAGAGACAATAGTATTCTTCCATTTTGGAAAAGAAGGCGTTCGAAAGCACCCACTCCCTGATATGCGATACATGGGACGTGCGTGACTGGAAAAAGAAGGCCTCTAGCAGGAGCGTTACGGAGAAATATAAGAAAGCGTCTCCCAGCCATTCAAGCCGCTGACTTCTTGTGGTCCCGCGGCCAAGAAAGACTATTTTAAGCAAGTGGGGAGATTGGATGCGCAGGAAACCGCTGGGGGTTCTCCCATTGCCAACATCCCCAGGAGGTACACTGTTCAGGTTGGAACTTGCGGCGTCTCTTGAAGGGTCTAAACAGCTGGTGGGCTTATTGGGCGTCAAAGATCCTTCCATAGTCTTTGACGACCTTTTCCCGTTCAAGAAAGCATAGACCGGTGGCGTGAATATTTCTATGATCAACTGATGGATTTCGTCAAAACCTTGCTCCGTATACACAGCTCCAACATAGGCTTTAAGCATCCTTGCTAGAGACGATCTATGAGTGCAAAAACTGCGTTGCCATACGATTAGTGTCATACCACGATTAAGATCGTACTCGCTACCGGTCTTTCGGGGATCGTAGCCGGGGAGTTCACACCTGTCTGCAATGTCGCATAGGACTGCATCCGAAAGAACATTTGACCTGATGTCTATCACAAAGGATGTTTCTAGCTCAGAAAAGAAGTCCTCCAACAGATTTGTTATGCTCAAACACAAGACAGCTTCACCCAACCGTTCGAGCCGCCTATTCCTGTTCAGTGCACAGCCAAAAGAGACCACTTCGAGGGACCGAACGTGTAGATGTCTTCCGGGTGACATCCCATCCTGAGAAAGCGCATCACTTGGCTTAGAGGGGATGGAAGTGACTGGAGGATTCGAACCATCTAAGGGTGTGCGTTTTGCAAGGGCTCCTTTCGCTAAGGCTATGAGTTCCCCGAAGAGGCCGCGTTTCGCTACATCGGCAGCATATTGTGGTGCCAAAACGTCAACACAAGATATAAGGGAATACACGCTAATGCTGGAAGGGTCCAGGCCAGGAGCTTAAATGTGACAACGATGTGAGCAAAAGTGGTCACTCTTCGAGAGGAGAACGCGTGTACCAGAGACGAGATAGTCGATGAAGGATGCAATAGGGAAACCCGACCCCTCAGCCATTACTAGGGATAAATGATTAAGTAACCAACGGAAGCAAAGAAACCCAGTTCCCTTTTCTCACCACGGCACGGACCGAATGAATGCGTCCATCCTTATACAAGTGCAATTTTACACCTATTACTCATCACGGGATCAATGTAACTTGGTATCGTAGTCAGGGGGGGTTCCGATACCTCCTTAGGCTTCGTTCGGGTTGAAGAAACTGGTTTCTTCAACCCGTTTCTTCCAGTTTCTTTGAGCAGTTTCTTTGACGCTCTCAAAGAAACTGCCCACCCCCGGGGAATTCCACTTAGCTAGTTTCTTCCTGTATTGAAAAATACTATTATTTATAATCATATCATGGCGCTTATGCATCATTACAAAGGATCAATGTGAACGTGCCAAGCATCAACAACTGCTTATTGGGTTGATCATATCTCAATGGATTCTTTCAGCAGCTGAAATTTACCACCATCGCTATACTGTACTCACACGACCAACTACCGGCTTAGTCAGCCACGTGACTTGTCACGTGATATAAACGGCAACCGGCAACTCGTTGTGACGCGTGACACCCAACCGGCAGGGCGCTGCGGAGTTGTCCGAATTATATTGCTTATATTAAATTGTTAACCACCTTGAATTTAAAATTTAAACATTTGAAAACACCACCCCCATAAAATTTCTGAGCATCTGTGCATCATCTCATGAACGGTTTTACCCTTGCACACTGCATTGCTTTGTGTACGGATGAGACTATCTCATATAGCGACATCCCGGGTGATTTTATTGGATCCTACTTTCCAGACGGGAACTTGTCTGTCACTGAATTTATCCAGTTTACACTTCCAGTCCTCCAAACAAATTTACAAGGTTCACATACTCCCTGTGCCTATTCATGAGCAGGAACTTGGCCATGGAATGCGAGCAAGGCACACAAGAAACTTGGAAGACCAAACGAAAATTTTCTGTTTTTGAATGTAAATACATTCCAGAAATGGAAAATTTGAATTGCCTTGCACAGCCACCTTGCCTCAGCAAAACTGGCATGACACCCAAACACCCAACCGCCAACCGGCTGTGACGCGTGACAGACCCTGAATTTCGGGAGGTCTCTGTGACGCATGACTGGTAGTTGGTTGTGTGAGTACAGTATTCTCAAATGCCCTTACCATGACTCACCATATCGGGGTGAAGATTGGCTTCGGGATTTGCTGAATGGACACCCAGGTCAGTTCCACAGCCAATTTGGGGTCCATAAGCATGTCTTCCGTTGTCTGGTTGCTGAATTTCGGTCCATGGGCATGACAAATTCTAAATATCTTGCTGTTGAAGAGCACACCGCGATATTTCTCTATTCTGTGGTAACCGGACTCTCAATAAGGCTCATTGAAGAGCGGTTCCAACATTCATTTGAGACAGTTTTGATGTCAGTTTCTATCAAATCTTGTTTGTGCGGCATGGCTAACAACCCTTCAGTTACTTCAAGAAAGTTCTTTGTGTATTATTGTCTCCTCCCTTCTACCTCAAATATGTATGCCTAGCCTAATACCCCTACTCCACCTGAAATTTCCGCCAATCCAAAATTTTATCCATTTTTCAAAGATGTCATTGGCGTGATTGATGGTACACACCTTCCCTGCAACCCTTCCACAGAAGAGCACGAAGCATCCCGCAACCGCAAAGGGGGTGTCTCCCAGAACTGCCTGGCAGCATGTTCATTTGATCTCCGTTTCCAATATGTGCTCAGTGGATGGGAAGGGTCAATTGTCGATATGGCAATGTACCGTGATGCACACATGACAGATTTGCCTATCCCAAACGGAAAAATGTATCTTGCAGATGCCAGATTTGGTGCATGCGATACACTTCTAGTTCCTTACCGGAAAGAAAGATATCACTTACAAGAGTTTGGGTGGAGTCAACTTCGGTAAGTCAATTTCGTGGCCCCACTACCCATCTCAGCTGTCCTACAGACCACAAAACCATTGAGAATTGTACAACCTTTGACATGCTCAACTTTGGAATGTTGTGGAGTGCAATTTTGGAATTGTAAAAAAGCACTTTGCAATCCTCCAGCATGCACCTTCATATCCAATGGCCATTCAGGCTCGAATTCTTCCTGCACTCTGCTGTCTCCACAACTTCATTCAATTTTATGATGCTGATGAAATCCACACTTTTGGAGTGGCCAGTATGGACATTACCTCAGGTGATTTTGGGGAACTTCAACATGGTACTATCACTCAGCAGGAAAGCAGTCGGGCAAGTGGAATTCGCGATAGTATAGCTCAAGCAATGTGGATTAGCTACCAACAGCACTTGTCAACTCATTGAAGTCAGTATATATGAATGATGTGAAACAAATACTAGGATTGCCCAATCACTGGAATTTTGGTGCTGCCAGATGGGCTATTTTCTTCCTGACCCAGTTCTTTCGCAAGCTATCACGGTTCAGGCTGAGGTAGATGTCTGCCACATATGGCTCCTCCTGAAGAACATTGAGAAGGATCATCAATTCTTCATCATCCAACTCATCCTCAATCTCTTGAGCATGAGTAGCAGCTTGAATTTTCCGCTGCGGGGTAGTTGGGATAGTAGAAGATGAGGCAGAGCTGGAAGCAATGAATGCCTTGGTGAAGTCACTCATTGACTCAGCTAGGGCAGTGAAGCCAATTGCGGCATTGGAATGTGGAATTGTATGCTTTCGTTTTGGTAGTGCCTCGAGTTTGACAGCATGTTGAACAAATGAGCTTTTTGATTCAGGATGTGGTGACTGATGAGTTGAAGGGATGGAGGGAAGAGATGAGAGGGAGGGAGATGGCTTGAGAAGATCGGGGTCAATATTGTCCTCAAAGCCAAGATCATGGCGCTTGTGAAGTCGTTCAGGGGAGGGGGTACATGACCAATTCTTGGTTTTGTCAGCATCCTACAGACATATATAAGTCATGACTGTCAAAAACCCATGATGGAATGGGGGTAAATGCGTGAGTCCGAATGCAGGCGGGGCTCAACTAGAGGGGGGTCTGAGGGCTCCGGTAGTGAACCGAAGCTTCTCAGGGAGCCCGGTTCTGCTGGATGGTACAAGAGGCTCTAAGAAGGACGCGGCCTCAGCGACTCGGAGGGAGTGCTGTGCCTCCATTACGTCTCAGTTAGTCCTTGTATTTCTTATGTCTGAGGTATCTTGTAGAACAGGAGCGGAATTCACTCAGAGGGACTTTGGGTGGCATTTTAGTCGAGATTAGAACTGAGGAACTACAGGTTCTAATCTACGTGTATTTATAAAGGGGGATGGGGAGGACCTAGTCAAAGTCCGAACCAACAAATGGGAAAACACCGAAAGGTACCGAAAGGTCCCGAACGATATCAGAACGGGGAACCGAGGTGTCAGGCCAAGGAGGGTGGAGTTGAAGGCCGGAAAATGAATGTGGAAGACAAATGGACAAAGGGGGTTAGCCGACTGAATGGAAGGAAGAAGGTAGTCATGCTAAGAATAGAAGGTGACTAATAAGTGATAACGTGAGGGAGATCACTGAAGGATGTGGGTAGCTCCGAAAGCGGAGTTGTGTATCCGAAGGATGTTAGGTGACTCAAATAAATGAAATGGGTGGAGGAGAGGTTTAAGGGCATGTCACGGGATGTCGGAGGTCCATCGGGATATCGGAGCAAATCCGGGGTCTCTGAATGTTCTGACTCGGGACCGAGGTTCCGGGATGGGAGTGGCCAAGGATCAGTGTGCCGCAACCAGACCGGAGCTGAGACAATCAGGAGGGAAGGTGACTTGGGGAGTGGGGAAGGCATGGTGTAGGGGATGGTGAAGTTGTTAGGAAGGTGTGGTGTGGTGGGAGTGCGCAGGGTCGGGATTCCGGGATATGACAATGACCTTGAAAGGAGTGTCAACATACCTTTGGTTCATCAGCAGTGGGTTCGGTGTCCTCGCTTTCAGGCTCTGGCATCTTGGTTGTGTGGAATGCTTGGCATCCAGTTGCACGCTTAGGATTAATCTCTGCCATCTCATCAAAGAGTGGCCACCCTTTTTGATGGAATGGAGCAGCCAGAGGCCACTCCTAGTAATGTAAATATCATTATTAGCAATTAGTCATCGCAAATAAGAGATATGGGCTAGCAGCTACTTACTGCAACAAAATCAATCCATAATTGCTCTTCTTCTGGTCCTAGATCAGCACCATCTTCATTACTCCAGGGGAAGCCTGACTGTTCTGAGAGCTGTTTGACTGCCCAATATATCTGTTTTAACTGTGGAAAAGGTATAGTCAATACTTTGCTGAGATGCCACAACTAGCAACTCACCTTGCCATATTTGTTCTTGCATGCACTAGGCTTGAAGACTGTCCCACACTGCTCAAGTAAGTGTGCTGAGGCACCATTCCAGACCTTGTCCTTGAAGCCAATATCAGAAGTACCACCTGCATGCTTAACTTCAAGAAGATGGTGGATGAGCTCTGCCTCATCATGGGACCTCCAAGTAGCCCGCTCAGATGGTGTCTCAGTAGGAGCGGTGGCTGCATGAGTGGGTCCTCCTTTGGGAGGTCGACATCGTTTGCTACCATTGATCGGAGCTTCAGATGTTGTGTTGACATCTGTGTCAATGTGTTTCCACTTTGGGGGCATAATTCACAAGTCTCAATGTCGCTGCATTCCATTGTAGAATTTATAAACATCAGCAAAAAATTGTTATGCTCCTGAGTGCTCTGGAGTATGGGGAGCACTGGGAGAATCAGGAGGAGATTGGCCGGTCCAGGAACAGCTCATTTCCTCCGGAGTTGGTCAGGTACTCCAGGGCACTCCCAGGAGGGCATGGAGCATTGCTTTGTGCACAAACATATCCAGTAAATACAATTTAATGCTTCAAAATGTATAGGGGTGAGAAGCTTCTGGGAGCTCCTGGAGCATTTGAAAATGAAAAGGAAAAAAAAGAGGGAAGACTCCCCATGAATACCTCCTACCACAAGACTAACACAACAAGACACTACTTAACATTTAGGTCAAACACTACACTATACATCAAGGACACTGAGACTCACCAATACACAGTCAAAATTTATGGCCTGATATATGATTAATCTGGCAACTTAATCACTTTTGGACTTGCAGAATATGGAGGAAGGGGAAATGGGGGAGAATGAGGGGGGAAATGAGGGGGAGAATGAGGGGGGAAATGAGGGGGAGAATGAGGGGGGAATATAGAGGGAAATGAGGAAAATTTGAAAAATAGGGACTTCTAAAAAGTTGAAAAAATAATTAGGGAAAAAATCAAAAAAAAATTTGGGAACTGTAGTGCCTTTGAAGTGCTTTCAGGATATATAATTATTTGTGAAATTGAGGCAGAAATGATGGAGAAAAATGGAAAATACTTTCGGAGACCTGAGAAATAATGAGAACTGAATTGATGGGAAAGTCTGAAAATTGAATAGGAAAGTGAGGGGAAGCCTTGTAGCATTATTATTTTCTGCTGTTCTAATTTTTCCTGATTCTTCTTGGTCTCACTCCCAGCTGCTCCTGGATACTCCTGGATACTGTTAGAATGGGGCGGATTCGGACGACTCCGGAATGGAATCGGAGACTTAGCATGGAAGGACCTCGGCCTCAGCGACTCAGGCGGAGCGCTGTGCCATTGCTGGTTGTCCTAGGGGTCCCTAATTTCGGATCTAGCAGAGGGAAAGTCTCTTGGGGGGAATTCATGTCGATTTCTGTCAGGGCACAGCCCCTGACCCCACACACCCTCAGGTACCCTTCCCCCATTTTCTCCTATTTTTCCCTTCACTGTTCCACAATCCCACATGCATGCAGACCGTGGGAACGTTCTGGGCGAGTTACTCGCCCAGAAACCATCACAGCCACAACCGTGGGAACTTTCTGGGCGAGCTGCTCGCCCAGAATCTTCCCACGGGGGGTGCCAATTATGGAAAGTCGGCAAAGAGCCGAAAACTGTATAGTTCCCGGCTCCCTTTTGTAGCGGCTTCACAGGAGGTTGAGAAGGTTACCCTTCTTCTCAACTCATTTCCTGTGAAGGCAAGTGTAACTAAGCTACTTCCTAAATGCGTAGCAACTCATTTCCTGTGAAGGCTGGGGCTAGCCCCCTCAGTGAGTTTGAAGACCTCGGACTGGGACTAGATACCCCAGCGACTCGGAGGACCCCCTTGGGCCCGTCACGGAACGAGGGCCGGGCCCTGACAATTTCGGACTGAGGTTACAAGTTACTAGGTACATTGTATATAAGGAGGGGTCCGGAATCAAAAGGAACAAGGGTAGGACGAAAGGAGACAAAGGGAGATGGAAAGAGGAACAACACCGAGGGTCAAGGGTTTGACTCAATGGTGTTTCTCAAAGGAGGAATGAAGGGCCAAGGCCCAAGGAGGAAGGAAGGAGGTTGGGAGTGGGGAATGGCTAGCTGACTGAATAGAAAGGAAGCAGCAGCCCAAATAGGAATGAGGGAGAATAGCGGAATTGAATAGGACAATGCAATAGTTGCAAGGTCCGAGGTAAGTCCGGAAAGTCCGAACCCGGAAGTTAAACTCCGGAATATTGGCAAACGTAATTAAATGGAATGAGCTAACCAATACAATGGGTATAAGCGGAGGTGGGGTCAAAGTCCGAGGTCGGAGCTAAGACCGGAGGTTCCGGAGATGGAGACGTGAACGGGATTCCGGAGTGGAGGTCCGGAGTCGGGAGCATAGGTTTGCGTACTCGTCTGGAAGGTGTCAAGGTTGGGGTTGGACCCGGAATGTCCTGGAGTCGGACCAAAGGTGGTGTCAGAGCCAGAGGTGGGATAACCTCTTGGGAGTCGGCAAGGAGGAGGTGATGGAAGGGAAGTAGGGTTCCGGAAGTCAGGTTTGGAGTTCCGGGAGCCCGGAGCAGAGGTCGGAATTGTATGGATATGACAGATACTCCTGGAAGCTCCTGGGAGGGTCCAGGAGCAGCTAATGGAAAATACTTTCGGGGACCCAAGAAATAATGAGAACTGAATTGATGGGAAAGTCTGAAAATTGAATAGGAAAGTGAGGGGAAGCCTTGTAGCATTGTTATTTTCTGCTGTTGTGATTTTTCCCAATTCTTCTTGGTCTCATTCCCAGCTGCTCCTCAATACTCCTGGAAGCTCCTGAAAGCTCCTGGGAGGGTCCAGGAGCAGCTGGGAGTGAGACCAAGAACAATCAGGGAAAATCACAACAGCAGAAAATAACAATGCTACAAGGCTTCCCCTCACTTTCCTATTCAATTTTCAGACTTTCCCATCAATTCAGTTCTCATTACTTCTCGGGTCTCCGAAAGTATTTTCCATTTTTCTCCATCATTTCTTCCTCAATTTCACAAATAATTATATGTCCTGAAAGCACTTTAAAGGCACTATAGTTCCTGAATTTTTTTGGTTTTTTCCCTAAATTTTTTTTTTCAACTTTTTAGAGACCAAAATTTTCCTCCCACTGCTCCTGGCACATTGCATACTCCTCACCACTCCCAGCTGCTCCTGAACCCCCTCCCAGGAGAACACTATTGGCTCCAGGAGTGCCCAATCTGCTGTTTTGTCTCCCACATGCTCCAGCCACTCCTGATGCTCCGGAGCATAACAGACTTTTGCTGATGACATGTGGTCCAAAGAAACCAATATCAACATGTGGGAAACTAAAAGTTCCCACGAATTGTGTATGCAAAAGAGACCTTGCAAGCAAGGTAATATACAATTTGAGAGTGAATTGACCAATCAATTATTGAGAAAAATGCAAAATACTTTTTTGGGTGTGAGTCTGCAAATACTTGTGGCTGTCCAAACTCACTGTCTGTGCACAATGCTGGCCACTGTCCAGAGGGGTGTCAGGGCTGTTTCCCACGGTGTCAACACACTTTACACCAATGGATAGCCCATTTGAATAGCTTCCAGAATATACAATTTGAGACTAAATTGACCAGTAAATTATCGAGAAAAATGCAAAATACTTTTTTGGACACGAGTCTTTTGGGGTGACTCAATGTCTGTACTCATGCTGACCACCATGTAAAGGGGTGTCAGGACTGTTTCCCACAGTGTCAACACACTTTACATTGATGAATAGCATTTGAATAGCTTCCAAATTTATTGTATGATCGGAATTCAGGTAAATACATGTTAAAATACAAAGAAATCTTAAGATGTGATTATCCAGGATCATCCAGGATCATCCGGGATTTTCATCCGGCGAATCCGGATTGGCCATTGGGAGGTTGTCCCAATCCGGGATTTCTGATCCTAATTCGATCCTATCCGATCCACCCGGACCCCTACTATTACCCCATATTGAATTATCACGCGACCACATGCATTCCCTCCGAACGGGGCAATGCCGGCTGGATTCCTCACAAATTATCTCTTTAATTTGACAGTTCCTCTGTTCATTCAACTGCTGATTCAATTCAGAATATCATTATCATTTGGAGGTGTGCGTGAGAAAGCGTCAGACTCGTGATTAGCAGTGCAGTAGCATGTGATCTGCAAGCAAGGTCGTGGTTGCTTCGCAACCTTTCTAGTCATATGAGTCCCATCAAATGGGCAATCCCGGCTGACTGTGAACCATATGGACAAATGGTATACATAATATCAATAATTGATACGAGCATGATATGCATGCTGGACCACATTGATCGACCTGCCCAATCTCAATTGAACGGCCGTTTTACTTTTCTTGCGACAAAAGCCATAGCCCATGCTAGCCCACGACGCTTGTTGCTGATGAACGCTGCATTCTTGTCTTTTCTTTTGTTTCTCCTGACTCGCGTTACTGAAACTGGCGCATTAAGGCCTTGTTCGGGTCGGAGAAACAGGAAAAAGAAAACCGTTTCTCCGACCCGAACGAAGTATGAATGAATTGGTTGGCAGGCAATTTCAAATTGTCAGTGACAGCAAATTAGAATAACTTTTGTAAATAATTTCAGTTCCAACAGCACCTCTTTCTTTCTTACCGAACCTCACAGGCTACTCGCTCGCCACCAACACTAGTTTTGGCGCCTAGAAGCCATACATTGCACACATCATGTCTCCTCTTGTTTTCCGCTCCAGAAGACCTCCTCTCCTCTCCTTGTTCTTCGTCATTGTCTTGTTTCTGCTTTTTCAAACACATCTACCAATCGACTCGAGCTACTCCTCCTCCCTTCGCTCCCAGCTGGGCAGCCAGGTCCTGTACCCTCACCGCCCAAAAAGCCCATCTCCCATAACGATGATAGTCATGTGGAGTTCCACAGGCGGCAAGACACCCATATACATGAACACCTACTTTGCATCTGTCCTAGCAAACCCAACAATTGATCTGCTTCTTATAAAATTCGACAGAGAAGGACACGGAGTTGATTGCGGCCCCATGGCTCCTCAGGTAGATAATTCGAATATTCGCGAAGTATGTTTTTCTTTGGAGGAGTATTACGAACGCCATGCTAGGTGGTTGTGTGGACTGCCCGGATGGGAATGCAGTCAGAATGAATTCGTGAAGCTGACTAGCGACTTGAAGAGGTTTGGCCTTTGGGACAGGGTATGTGTTTTCATGGAATGTGAATGCGTTTTGCTTGGACGTAACATACGTTTTGACCAATCAGGTTTCATCTCATTTTCGCCCCTTCAGGGCTGCCATCTTCCATGACTACATTCA